CTTTACAGCTCTCCAGGGTCTCGGGCGGAGGTCTTTCCCATCACCTGGAGATGCCGGGGATTGAACCTGGGACCTTCTGCATGCCAGGCAGAGGCTCTTCCACTGAGCCACGGCCCCTCTTTACAGCTCTCCAGGGTCTCGGGCGGAGGTCTTTCCCATCACCTCCTGCCTGGTCCTTTTAACTGGAGATGCCGGGGATTGAACCTGGGACCTTCTGCATGCCAGGCAGAGGCTCTTCCACTGAGCCACGGCCCCTCTTTACAGCTCTCCAGGGTCTCGGGCGGAGGTCTTTCCCATCACCTCCTGCCTGGTCCTTTTAACTGGAGATGCCGGGGATTGAACCTGGGACCTTCTGCATGCCAAGCAGAGGCTCTTCCACTGAGCCACAGTCCTTCCTTACAGCTCTCCAAGGTCTTTCCCATCGTCTACTGCCTCGCACTTCCAACTGGAGATGCTAGGGATTGAACCTGGGACCTTCTGCATGCCAAGCAGAGGCTCTGCCACTGAGCCACAGCCCCTCTTAACAGCTCTCCAGGGTCTCAGGCAGAGGCCTTTCCCATCTCCTCCTGCCTGGTCCTTTCGAACTGGAGATTGAACCTGGGACCTTCTGCATGCCAAGCAGAGGCTCTGCCACTGAGCCGCAGCCCCTCCCTTTGTTCGGACTGGGGCCAGTTTCTAAAGTGGCAGGAAAGAAAAAAGGTTTCTTCAGGCTTCCTCCCTAAAGCCAAGGTGTTGCAGATGGAAAGACGCCCCGTTGCCGTAACCAAGAAGGCCTGCCAAGAGCAGTGTTTATTTGATGTCCTAATTAAGATAACCACCTGCTGACTGCCCAGGTAAATGAGTAACCCACGGCCAGATTGAGAACTGTAAAGGAGTTTTGTTTTGTACGGGTGTAAACGTGATTCTAGGGGCACCTGGGTCCAGGCACTGCCGTCCTCTGCAGGCCGGAAAGCCGGAAAGCAGAAGCAAACACTTAGGAACCAGTAGAACCAGGTTCTGTCCACACAGCTCTTCGTGTTCCCTCTAAGCTGAGTTTGTGTGAGCTAGCTCAGGTTTTTTTAGCCTCCGGCTCACACGTTTTCGTCTTAGCTCAGGAAGGGTGGCTCCAGAGCAAACTAATTTATGCGTTAGGAGGAGGAGGAAGAGGAGGAGATTGGAATTATCCCCCCGCCCTTCACTCAGAGTCTCAGAGGGGCTTACAAAATCCTTTCCCTTCCTCTTCCCACAACGGACACCGGCTGTGAGGCAGGCAGGGCTGAGAGAGCTCTGACACAAACTGCTCTTTTTCAAGGACAGCTCTTATCAGAACTACGGCTTGCCCAAGGTCATCCAGCAGCTGCGAGTGGAAGAGTGGGGAATTGAACCCGGTTCTCCCGGATTAGAGTCCGCGCACTTAACCACTACACCAAACTGGCTCTCCCTCGCTCACCACTTTAATGCCAGTCGCTCACGAAGTAGAATTTTTGCTCACAGGACCCCACAGCTCAGAGGGGGTGTTGCTCTGGACTTGACACAGCTGGACGGCGGATGCAAAATGCCTGATGCGGGAGGCGGAGCCAGCCACCAAACGGCCACCCACATCTCCCCTTCGGTCACGCGGCGAAGTTCCCTTGTGTTGTGGCGGCAGCCAGTGTTCCCTCTTAAGCTGAGTTAGCGTGAGCTAGCTCATAGTTCTTTAGCCTCCGGCTCACACATTTCTGTCTTAGCTCAGTAAGGAGGGCTCCAGGGCAAACTAATTGATGCAGCGGCCAAATTTCTCGCTCACAACTTTAATGCCAGTCGCTCACAAAGTAGGATTTTTGCTCACGAGACTCCACAGCTTAGAGGGAGCATGGGTGGCGGCCGCTGCCAAAGCAACGTTTTTAAAAATCTGCACTGCTAGTCCGATCTCTAGTGGCGCCCGGAAAGCTGTTGGCACGGGCCATTGTGCCCTCGGGCGCCACGTTGGAGACCTCTGGTCTAGCTGGAGAAAGAGGCCGCTGGTGCGTGGGATATTGACGGCATTCTCGTGTAGAACGGCACGGGAGTCTCACTGATCTCGAATGTCACCTTGTGCAGTCAGAGGGGCCAGCAGCCCGTCTACCTGCAGGTGCGCATCTCAGTTCTTCCCACCCACACCTGTCGCGGAAGGTAAAGAGGGAGGGAGACAGGTAATGGTTCGCCCCGGAGCAAGGAAGAGGGCGTGAAGAGGCCTCTGGCACGGCACTCGGCTGCGTCTTGGCCGGGAACGTAGGGGTAGGTTAGCCTTCGCGCATCCAGAGATGCTATCAGGCTGTGTGGTTAAGAACTAGCAAGTGCAAGTAGATTACCCAGGGTCCCCGTTTCCTCTGGCCGCTCCCCCTGCCCTGTCGGACTGGTGCTTTTCTCTGAAGATCTGGGGCGCTTGCCAAAGACATCAGAACGTAAGAGAAGTTGTGTTGGATCAGGCCAGTGGCCCATCCAGTCCAACACTCTGGGTCACACAGTGGCCAAAAACCAGGAGCCATCAGGAGGTCCACCAGCTGGGCCAGACCTCCAGAAGCCCTTCCATTGTGGCCCCCCTCTCCAAGCACCAGGAAGACAGAGCATCCCTGCCCCAGACATAAGAACATCAGAGAAGCCAATGTTGGATCAGGCCAGTGGCCCATCCAGTCCAACACTCTGGGTCACACAGTGGCCAAAACCCAGGGGCCATCAGGAGGTCCACCAGCTGGGCCAGACCTCCAGAAGCCCTTCCATTGTGGCCCCCCTCTCCAAGCACCAGGAAGACAGAGCATCCCTGCCCCAGACATAAGAACATCAGAGAAGCCAATGTTGGATCAGGCCAGTGGCCCATCCAGTCCAACACTCTGGGTCACACAGTGGCCAAAACCCAGGGGCCATCAGGAGGTCCACCAGCTGGGCCAGACCTCCAGAAGCCCTTCCATTGTGGCCCCCCTCTCCAAGCACCAGGAAGACAGAGCATCCCTGCCCCAGACATAAGAACATCAGAGAAGCCAATGTTGGATCAGGCCAGTGGCCCATCCAGTCCAACACTCTGGGTCACACAGTGGCCAAAACCCAGGGGCCATCAGGAGGTCCAGCAGTGGGGCCGGGACACTAGAAGCCCTCCCACTGTGGCCCCCCCAAGCACCATGAACAAAGACCATCGCTACCCCAGACACAAGAACATGTTTCAGTCCTCTCTAGCACACTCTCCCCCCAGCCCTCACTCCACAGACCAAATCTGCATAGCAGTTAGAGAACTTTGCCCCAGGAAATCCCTCCTGCAAGGCAGAGAGACAGTGTATCCATAGCATTCTCTGTGCACTTACAAGAATCAAAGCAA